TAGAATGCAGTCATAGTAAACTGAAATCAAATCACACCTGAATATATAACATATGTCAGTGTGCTGGCCAGTTATTTGTCCAGTTGACACAAACCTGGACATACCTGGGAAAAGGGAACCTCAGCTGAGGAATTGCTCCCACCAGATAGGCCTGTAGACATGTCTGTTGGGCATTTTCCTGATTGCCAAATGATTGCTGAGGGCCTGTCCCACTGAAGACAATGCCACCTCAGGGCAGGTGACCCTGGGTTGTATAAGAAAGGTAGATGAATGAAGGCCTGGGAGTAAGCCAGTAAGCACCATTCCTCTGCAGCCTCTGCTGTAGTTCTGGCTTCTGGGTTCCTGACTTGAGTTCCCTGCCGCTTCCCTAGATGTTAGACTGTAACCTGTAAGCTAAATAAACCCTTTACTCCTTGAAGCTGCTTTTGGTCAGTGTTTATCACAACAGCAGAAACCAAACTTAGATGTGGAAATCTTCCTGATCCTTAGTAGCTTCTCAGCCTGGGAAGTGCTTACAGTCTTCTGCTTTCCAGGCTTAACCCCTTTCTGCAGAGCGGAACTTTGTCTTTTCGTTCCTGTCCCATGTTCCTTTTTATCTGTCTCTTTTCCTCTCTCGGTATGTGCCAGCTGGCTGGGCCCATGCCTCCAGTGAGGCAGTATTTACAGCTCACTTGGGTGGATGCCGCAGTGAGGGTAGCCCAAGGGCAAATGAAATAGCATTCAGAATGGGAATGCTGTACCTCTCTGCTCTGTCCTCTTTCAAATAAGGAAGAATTCCTGTCCCTCTCCACTCTGTCAAATGGCAAGGAGTATTGATTGGTTTGGTACAGTATATAAAATATGCATATAATGGAATGGTATTTTGGGAACTATTAGCACCATTGGTTTGCTGAGCCCCAAGATTTTACCCTCCTCCCCCATTCCTTTTCCTCCTTCCTAGTAGCAGCTTCTTAGCAAATTACAAGCCCTGCCTCTGGCTTGCTGGGTAGAGTGGCACTGCAAGCTTTCTCTAGTTTCCAAGGGAGACGGATGCTGAGACTGCAGTGTTTCCCAGCAGCCACTTACCTTTCTTGCTGTTCATCTCCATGCCTGTCTTGACCTTCGCTCTGCTATGCAGGCCTGCACAAGGAGGTAACAGTCTGTTTTTCTCGGAGTTCTGGGTCGGGGGGGGGGGGCAAAGGAAATGCAGGGTGATATGGCTAAAGGCATAGGGAGACAGCAGAGTAGAAATACTGAAATTAGAAAAAAGTGGCTCTGAGGTGCTCTGGTCTGTGAACATCTTCCTGTTTGCTGTACCCATAAATATCCTGAAGGTGGGAGCCCTGGCACTAGCTTCTAAAACTGAAAATTACTGCATATAAAAGCATAAGGTTATAGTAATATTGCCTGTGGGAAACACAAAAGAAAAAACGAGAACTTGGAGAAGAAAATATCATCAAACACTTTATCTTCATGAATTCTGTTAGCTGTGTGTTATACACATTTAAGAAGAGAGCTGAGAATATGCCTCTTCAGTATATTCTCAGGACGCCAGAGCTGTGCTTCCGAGTGTCAGTCAGTATTCCTGTATGGCTACTTAAATGTAATGACAAATAAAGTTAAAAGTAATGTCCTCTGTGGCACTAGCTACATTTAAAATGTTCAGTAGCCACATGTGGCTACTGGCTTCTATATTAATGGTTATTGGACATTTCCATTGTCATACAAAGTCCCATTGAAGGAACTAAAGAAAGTGACCCATAGAATATGGGAAGCTTAGTACAATTAATGCTCTGTATCACAAATTCTGAATCTGTGGATTCAACCAACTCTGGGTTGAAAATATTCAGTAGGAAAAGATACACCTGTGCTTAACATGAACAGATAATTTTCTCTTGCCATTTCTTAGCTAGTATCATATAACTACTATAGTTTCACAGCATTTACATTGTACTGGGCAATGGAAATAAGCTAGAAATGTTTTAAGGTATATATTTAAAGAAGATATATAAAATATCTGCAAATGCTATAAGAGATTTGAGAGCACTCGTGGCTTTGGGTATGGGGAGGAGTGCTGGGACCAATCCCCTTGGAAGATTTAGAGATGACTGTATTTGGCTAGACCAATGAATAAGCTTTTAGCAATAAGATGTAAAGTCCTTCTGTCCACAATCAGCATAAATATGAATTCACTATGGTTACAGATGACTGAAGTCTTGAGAAACACTTTGCCTAGTACTTTATTTTGTGACTGAAAAACCCAAGGTCCTAAGAGGTTAAAGAAGAACCCAGCAGTCTTTTTCACTGTTCCACAGTGTTGACCTCCCATTCCACTCTGCATCAGGTATCCCCTGACTGATTGCAAGCCAATTGCATCCTCCAAAGGAGAATCTAGTCCCTCATATTATCTCATTTTTATAGTTTGTTCATAGCAGCCTTATAACATATTGATGGCAACATCTGTAAACATAAAAGCCAGACTGTTCAGTATGGTAAACTTTAGGGGGATATCAGAGGATACCAGAGGAAGGCCAGGGCAAGACACCTCCATCTATTCACTCCTGCTGCTTGGAGAATTAGAGGAAGATAGGTCTTGCTCCATTAATCCATGTAACTGGAATGTCATCATGCTTTGGGAAAGAAGCAAATGTTTTTCATTGTTGAATAAAGTAAGGAAAGTCTGGATGCAAGAGAGCTTCGTGATAATGTCTTTTGCTGAATGACCTTGTGAATTTGATTATTTTAATGCTCTCTTGGGCCTCAATTGACTCATCTGCAAGGTGGGGATGATTTTATGTTCTCTACCCAGAAGTTTAGAACTAGATTAAATTTTGAAGTCCTTTAGGCATTGGTCTGCTGAAAATAACTACTAAGCCAGGCAGTGGGGCTGCACATCTTTAATTCCAGCACTTGGGAGACAGAGACGGGTGCATCTCTGAGTTCAAGGCCATCTGGTCTACAGAGTGAGTTCCAGGACAGCCAGGACTACACAGAGAAACCCTGTCTCAAGATACGAAAAAGAGAAAAATGAAATAACTGACTTTATTATAAGGGTTTTATGAAAAGTTGTCTACCAGCAAATAAAAAAAGGGAAAATTCCCTGAAAAACAGAATATTTGTTTTCAAAACAGAAATTATAAATAAGCCGACCTATTACAGAATTTGAACATTTTACTTAAAAGCTTTCTCCAAAGAACACTAAGTCAGGTAACTTTTATTGGTGAATTTTTAAAAGTATGTAACCCAAATCACACACACATCATTACAGAAAATAGACCAGGAAAGAACTCGTCCAACATACATAACCTTAACTCACAAAGCTGTCCACTATACCACGAGAGGAGAAAATCAAAGGCCACGTTCATTTTATGACTATGAGTATAGAAATCTTTTTCTTCTCCTTCCTTCCTTCTTTCCTTCCTTTCTTTTTTTAAGAAAGGTTTTTTCTGTGTAACATCCCTGGCTGTCCTGGAACTCACTCTGTAGACCAGGCTGGCCTTGAACTCACAGAGATTCATCTGCCTCCACCTCCCAAGTGGTGGGATTAAAGGTGTGCATCTCCAGTGCCCCTCTGAGTGTAGAAACCTTAAAGTAAATAGTAGTAATACATTTTGGGGCTAAGGGGCAAGGCTGGGCTGGTAAAATGTTTGCCATGTAAGCATATGTCCTGAGTTAGGCTCCCCAGTATAAACCCTGAGTGTAGCATCATGACTGTAATCCAACACTGGGGAGGTAGAGATGGGTAGCTCCCTGGGGCTTACTAGCCACCTAGTCTAGCTGAGCTTGTGAGCTCCAGGTTCAGTGCAGAACCCTGTCTCAAACAAAGTGAAGTGCAGAGTGATGAAGGAAGCCTCTGGACACTGACTTCTGGCTCCCACACACACCTTGAGTGCACACATATCCGCACATTAGTATCTTGAGCTTAATGTGTGGCTCAGTGATAGAATGCTTGACTAGCATGTACACATAGGCACAAAAGCAAAAAATAAACAAAACCTGGGTCTTTTTGTTTGAAATGTACAGAGTTTTAAATAAAAATCAGTATGATTTTGCTATACAAGCATGAGGACCTGAGTTAAGATCCCTAACACTCACATAAAAAAGCTGCATTAGCACACAGCTGTAATCTTGTCACTGGGAATGCAGGGAGAGGAGTTTTGCCAGATTCTTACTGGCCATCCAGTCTAGCCAAATCAGTGTGCTCCAGTTTTAGCCAGACTTTGTTTCAAAAAATAATACAGATGAGCTAGGGAGATGACTCAGTGAGCAGAAGTGTTTACCACACAAGTGTGAGCACCTGCACTCAAACCCCCAGAACCCACATAAAAGCAGCTCGTCTGTAATCCAGGTGGTCCTATGGGGAGATCAGAAGTGGAGACAGGAGAAGCGCCTGTCATATGCAGTGGCAAGGCAAGCCTGTCTCAAACAAGGTAAAGGTGAGGAATGACGTTCAAAGTTGTCCTCTAACCTCTGTACATCTGCTGTGGTCTGTGTCCACAGTGAGATGTGCACTCCTGCATTTATACACACTAATGTTGACCTGTGTGCGCACAGACACAAACACAGTGATGAAGACACCGCACATCAACTTTTAATCTCCATGTGAACATATGGACATGTGTATCAGTGCATGCAAAACCTTAGCCTGCTTTCCATGAGAATAGGAAGTTTTAGTTTATTTTAATGGGTGGTGTCTAGAGAAATTTTAAAGCCAACATCCCTTTTAGCCTACAGTTTCTGTCAGAGCAGTAAGGCGAGAACAGAAAAGGAAAAGCGAAAGGACAAGATAAGAAGAAGTGAAATTCAGTTACCTTTTTACAGATGTACACTTGTGCATGAGTGGTGACACAAATATTTTGAATGCTAAGACAGCATTTACTGGTGGCTTATGGCATTCTTGCCCATTTGACCTTGAGGACATTTATCCTTGGCATGTGGGAGTCCCTTCAGTGTGTGGAGTGCCTTTGTGTTCTGCATTGCATGCTGCAGACGTGTTACCTGCTGTTTCCTCTGTCCCATAGATCTTATCTGACTCCTGTACGGGATGAGGAGGCAGAGTCTTTACGGAAAGCACGCTCCAGACAAGCTCGGCAGACGCGAAGGTCTACTCAAGTAAGCATGACTCCCCCACACCCCAGTGTTCTCTTGTCTTTCTGCCTTTCCAGCTTTTATTCCAGCTATTTCATCATTGTTGCCACCATGTCTAAGGCTATCCGGTATAGGATCAAATTTATAGCAGTTTCTACCCACTCTCACCTCCGTTCCCCCAGGCTCAAGACTAATCATTCCAGCTTTGCTTAAGAACTTTAAGAAGCCTTGTAGCCCTCTAAAGAAATTGACAGTAGTTTGAAAAATGTTAAACAAAGAGTTTCCATTTGTACACAGTCTACACTCCTAGATAAATACTCGAAACCATATTTTCACATAAAAACTTGTATAGAGAATCATGTAATGGAATTATTCAAAATGACCAAAAAGTAGAACCAACCCAGTAATGTACTCCATAATAAGCAGGACTATCCTGTTATAAAAGTGTGTGTTCATTAACCAATGAATAAACAAAATAGGCCATGTTAATACAGTGAAATATTATTTAGAATTAAAAAGTAATGTTACAGAGGCCAGAAAGATGCTTCAGTGGTTAGCATTTGCTACTCTTGCAAAGAATCAGAGTTCTGTCCCCAGCACTCACATCAGGTGGCTCACGACTGCCCGTACCCCCAGCTCTAGGGGATCCAGCAGCTCTGCCTGGCCTCCCTTGGGTACCTGCATACACAGGCACAAACTCACACACAGACATACACATAAATAAAAAAAATGAAAGTAGTTACAATTACAACATGGATGAACTCAGAGAAAACATTCCAAGTGAAGCAATCCAGGCACAATAAGCCTATTTCTTAAATGAGTCCATTGTGTAGTATATCCAAAATGGCACATCCAGAGAGAGAATTGATTAATGCTCGAGTCAGCAGGGAAGAAGAATAGGTAGAGACTCGTTAGTGGGTGTGGTTTCTTTGGGGGGTGATGAAATGTCCTGAAAATAGATAACAGTGATAGCTGAAAAGCTCAGAGTATTCTAGAAACTATAAGATCGCTTATATTAAAAAGCAGAATGTTATGACATATGAGTTATATTTCAGTTACAAAAAAAGGTCTTTTATGAGAGCCATGAAAGCAGCTTAAGGAAGAATCTGATTTAGCTCACACTATTTTGCAGAGATGGGAGTGGTAGGTAGAGGGTGTTTGCCAAGCCAGGAAACCAGATTAGTTAGGAAGCTTTTCATAGTAATCCCACCTAAATGTACAGCCCATGGCCTTGGGCTGTAATGGCCACAAATGTGAAGGAGGCCAAGGGAGCCCACGAGGCAGATGAAAAGGAACATCCAAAGAAATGAGAAGAAAACCAGAAAACAGAGTGGCATTTGAAATGAACGAGAAATCAGTGTGTAGCAGAAAGGAGGCATTCAACAGTTTTATTTAGATAGTGTAGAACTCCAGAAGGAAAGTCGATGACTGGGAACATTATACATAGCAGCAGAAGGATTGCTTCTGTCTTTCCCAACCCTCCCAGAATGGGTCAGGTATTCTGCCTTCACTTTTGCTTGATGAGTGTGTATCTGTTCTTCCCATAGAATCCATCTTCCATGAAGCCCATGACTATTTTTTATCAATATACATTAGAAAACTTATCCATTTCTCCATTTTGATAAGTTTATAGCTCAGGAATTATTAATTCCCATCAGCACTATCCATCTCCAGAACATTCTTCATCTTTCTGAACTGAAACTCTGTATTCATTAAGCAATCACTCTGCAAGCAAGCAATATTCTGTTTTCTCTCTCTATGAATTGTGAATCTCATATAAATGAAATCATATACCATGTGTCTCACTTGTTTGGCTCATTTTTTGAAACATAATACTATGGTTCATTAATGTTGTCCACGTGGCATCATTTTATTTTTTAAGGCTATATGTATATGCCACAATTTGTTTATCACCCACCTTTTAGTAGACACATGGCTCCCATAATAATAACACTGTGCAAATAAATGGCTGTCCACACATCTCCCAGACCCTGCTTTCAGTCCTTTGAGGTATATGAGTATAAATGTATGCTGGCTTGTATGATAATCCTATTTTTAATACTGTTGTATATTCTTATAATAGCTGTCCTGCTTCCCACTCCTGTCAGCAACCACAGGAATCCTCATTTCTCTAGTTCTCTCTCAATATTTGTTTTATAGTTGGGGGTTTTTAATATAATAACCACTCTAGTGAGTGTGAAGTAGAGGACTGACTATAAATTTTTTAAAATTTTTTAAGATGTGGAATGGCACAGGTGAAGGTCAAAGGACAACTGGTGGGAGTCAGTTCTCTATCATGTGGGTCCCACATGTCAAACTCAGGTCCGCAGGCTTGGTTGCATGCCTTTACCCGCTGGACCATTTCAATAGCCATTGATTATATTTTTATTATCATCTTTTCTCTCAGTGTACAGTAGATAAATCATCAGAATAAGTATGCATATAAATATATAATTGAATATATCATGAGTGAGAAATAATGGCTGGGGAATATAGACTACTCTTAAATGGCTTTAAATTTATTTATGAAGAGACGGAAAAGAGTAGACAGAGAAAGACGCATAAGTAAAAGAGGAAGAGCCAAAGACGTATAAGTAAGTATCTTACAATGAAACCATGCCTGTAATACCAGCACTTGGAAGGTAGAGGTAGTAGAAGCAGGAACTCGAGGCTGGCCTCAGCTACATAGTGACTTAGAGGTCAGCCTGGGCTACATAAAGACCCTGTTTTGTTTTGTTTTGTTTTTAAAAAAGAAATCTTGTAGGAAAAGACTCAGTAGAGAGAGCCAAGGTCCTCATTAGAATTAGGAAGGATCTTCAGCCTCATCAAAATGTGTACCTGACTTTTGAAAATATTTTGTTAGATTCTCAAAGGGACCTTGGGTCCCCAAAGAAATATTATCCAGAAAGTAAATGTCCAGTTCATTAATGTGGCAAATGATCCAGCCTCTGCCCGCTTCCCTCTGTTTCACTGTCCTCATTCTGCTCCCCTTCCCTTCACCTTTGCTAAACTCTGGCAGACACCGGCTTCATCCCAACCTCTCCTGTTTCTGAGTCTTTGGACAGGCTCCCTTTAGTTATAATGCCTTTTACCCACCCCACCCCCACTTTTTCAGAGCAGCGGTTTTCGAGGTCAGGGGACAACTTCATATGTTAGTCATTGCTTTCTTGTTTGTGGCAGGGTCTCTTGTTCACCACTGAACATTCCAGGCAAACTAGCTTTGCAAGCTTCTGGGGAATCTCCAGGCTCTCCTTCCCTTCTCCATAGGTGTGTTGCATGGGTTTTGGAGATCCAGACTCTGGTCCTCTCACTCTTATCCACTACACTATCTCCCCATGACCCAGTGTTTCTATCTTAATATGGGCATAGTATCTTATGATGATCATCTATTTTTTTCACGTAACTTCTGCCATATTAAAAGTTTCTTGAGCCGGGCGTTGGTGGCACACGCCTTTAATCCCAGCACTCAGGAGCAGAGGCAGGCGGATCTCTGTGAGTCCGAGTCCAGCCTGGTCTCCAGAGCGAGTGCCAGGATAGGCTCCAAAGCTACACAGAGAAACCCTGTCTCGAAAAAAACAAAAACAAAAAGTTTCTTGAAAAGGGTGCTGGATTGCTAGCTCAGCAGTAAAGAGCAGGTACTGCTCTGCAGAGGGCCTGGGCTCAGTCGCTGGCGTCTGCACAGTGGCTCACAACTACCCACCTGTAACTCAGCTCCGGGGGCCCAATGCCCTCTTCTGCTCTCCGCAGGCTTTTTTTGTATGCACATGGTGCACATCAACTGTAGCAGACTTACCACTTTAAATTAAATAAATCTTTGAAGGAACTTTCTTGAAAGGAATCACTTGACTTGCCTCTGTAGTTTGATTGCTTAAAGACATCAGTGATTTAAAAAGAATGAGTCAAATTATGAATAGTTAAAAAGTTTTTGAGGCTGGAGAGAGAGAGTCCTGCAGTGAAGGGTGCCTTCTCACCCTACCTAGTCAGATGACTCACAACCACATATAACTCCAGCTTCAGGGGATCTGACGCCATCTTCTGGCCTCCACAAAAAGTACACTTGTGTACATGCACAATGACATGTATACACACAATTTTATGAAATAAAAGGATGTTGTGGATTTGGTACTCAGTGGCTGCCTTTTAGCTTCGGGACATGCCTCCTCTGAGGCTCTGAGAATATAACCCTTCATTCTCTTCTCAGTGCTCTCCTGCTGCAAGTCTCTGTCACTTGCTTTGCTTCTGGCCTGCTGCACCAACGGTCCCAGGGGGAACATTAGTTGTTAGCACATCTCTGTGATTCCTAGAGTTACTCAGGAAATGATGTTAGAGAAAAGCCAATATAGTTTTTCAGGAAGTTTTGCTATTTTAGCCTAAGTATGAATTTTTACCTTTTTGTACCAGGTTTTAAAAATTTGTTACTGTTACTGTTACTGTTCAGGGAATAAGAAGGTAGCCATTTGATCTTGGGAGAGGGTAACGTATATTCAAATAATTGAGCACAATTTGTTATGAACCAAATACATCTGTAAGAGCAGTTATCACTGTTGACCTATTTTTGGAAGAGCAAGTTGGGAAAGCTAAAGTATTAGTTCAGAGTGTATGTAGATTTAGGTCTGAGTTCTCTGCACGCTGTGGTGCTTATTTTAAGCATGTGCTCTAGAATTGGCCTTCTGGTACATCTTGGGAACTTCATTTGGTTGTTTTGGGGGCAGCTTCCCTGCTCGAGAATACTGTGTGTTAGTGGGAAACTGTCTTCACCATTTGATATTTTCCCAGGGTGTTACCCTGACTGACCTTCAGGAAGCAGAGAAGACTTTCAGCAGGTCGAGGGCAGAGAAACAAGCTCAGGAGCAGCCTGGTGAGAAGCTTGAAGACCCAGGTGGGCTTGAAGGAAGCACCAAGAAGCAGGAGCCATCAGCTGCCCCAACAAAGGAAGCTGGGGAGGACCAGCAACCTTGGGGCAGGAGTCTGGAGGAAGAGGTGGGCTCTTTTCACTGGCATGCTCTGCACCACAAGCAGGATCCCTTGGTGAACCTTCATCGGTGGTGGTTTAAAATGCTGGTCTGCCTTGCTTCAGTGAACCATTCCTAAAAGACACTGTGTGTTTATAGCTGTCTTTGATGTGGACCTATGTGACTGGAAAAAAAATCTGAAGGATTTCGGTTCTTTAAGTGATGGCTTTTCTCCTCTGATAGTTAACTAATGCTTTTGAGTGAATGTCTTACTATTCTATAACGAGGGGAGATGATGTAATAAAATGCAAATAAGATCTGTTTTTATGGCAGACACTGTTTTAAGCATTTCAAATATATTAATTGACTCAGGATACCCCTCTGCAATGGATATTATTATTCCTGTTTTATAAGATGAGGAAGTTAAGTCTCATGGGTCAAGTAACTTACCTTATACTCTACACATGGAGGAGTAAGCCCGTGAGGATTTGAATGTAGGCAGTCTGACCTTCCAGCTTTGTTCAACACTAATGTGTTGTTTCCAAAACTCCTTCAAAGCACTCTTGGGTGTCACTGTCTGTGTTCACATGTGACTCTAGTGGAAGTGGTATACACAGAGAGGGCCAAGGGTATACTTAGGGCAAACATACCCCTGATTCCAGTTGTAACTGTTGTCTCTATAATTATCATTACCACTCCTTCTCTCTCAAAAGTGTCCCCGTGTAGGCTGATAAATTTTATGATTACTGTGGTGATGAGAGCAAGGAATCTCTCACTTATTGGCACTCTTGAGTGCTAAGTTCCAGAAACTGATATTACTGTGCATTTTGTTTGTTTTGTTGTTATTTACTAGCTGGATGGCGGTGGCACATACCTTTAATCCCAGTACTCAGGAGGCAGAGACAGATGGCTCTTTGTGAGTTCGAGGACAGCATTGTATATAGAGTGTGTTCTAGGACAGCCAAGGCTACACAGAGAAACCCTGTCTCGAAAAACAAAACAAAACAAAACAAACAACAACAAAAAGAAGTTAATACTGAGTACTGGTTTCCAGATAGTGTTCAGGTCCCTAACACATTGTCTAAACCCTCAGCATCCTATCTGAGGCTCAGTGAAGTTAACTTTTTCAAGGTCACCCAGCTCCTACCTGCAGAAGGAGACTTAAAGCCAGGTTCTAGCTGACCCCCCAAACTTGCTTACCTCATTGTTTCTGGCTTTGTGACTTATAAATTAAAAGTATGTGACCTTTACATTGTGAACTTACTTTATAGTAAGAATTTATATCTTGAAGAAATTTTAGTTAATTAAGCTAAGGCTAATTGTTCTGTGTTTTAACTCTCAGGAAAAAAAAAAACTCAAAGGAGAAAATAGAAATTTACAAAAGCTTCAGGAAATCAGAAAGGTAGTTGGTGGTACAGCCTTACCTAGTATGTGTCAGGCTTGGCTTTGATGCCAGGACATGAAATGAACTGTTGAGTGAGCCATGTGGCATGTTGGTGCAGTGTCCAGACAGTGCTGGAATGGTCATATTTGCTCTCTGTCCTCAGTTCATTGCTTCACTCTTGTTTCTTCACACTTCTGAGCTTTTTATTTCCCATGTACTCTGTCATTGAGCACCCCATCTTAAAATCAGCATTGCTTTTCTCATTTTCAAGGTCAAAAGACTTTTTACTATTAATCCTGAGCTATTTAGTGCCTTTTGGTCATTTTAGGTACAGTTTGTCTCAACTGCTGTGGTCATCCTGGTGTCCTCCAAATAGGACTCCAGAAGGTATTGGATCCTGACCACTTACTAACTCTAATTCAGCTGATAGATGCCTGTTGAACATCAACTGTTACTAAGTCTCCTTCATATTGAAAAGACCCATTCTGAAGAGGCCCGTTGTCTTTATCCTTTGGTTGAACTTGACCACTAAAATCTCATCCTGTGTACTATTTCCAGCCTATCTATCGTCGCTTAAGGTGTCCAACTCAACCAGACAAGCCCACAACACCAGAGTCTCCTTCTGCATCAAGACCCTTTCTCTACACTAGTTCTCATCTACTACGGACAAGTAGAGCTTCAGTCCCTGATTCTGAGAATTCAGAGACCACCATAAACGCCACAGCTGCAAAGGAAATGGACAAGAATGGTATGTGTAGCTTCAGAAGCCACTTCCCAGTGTGCATAGCCCAGGTTTTAAAGATCCTTGTTCTGTGTTATCTTTGGGCAGAGAAAGAAGGAGACAATTTGGATGATCAGTCCTCTAACACGCTGACTATCCGAGAGAGGAGGCGACCTAAGGACCGGCGAAGAGGCACGGGTATTAACTTCTGGACAAATGATGTAAGTACATTGCTCTAGACAGGGCACATGATATCTCCTGTGGCTGCCAGCCTCATCATCGAGGTCAAAAGAAAGAGCCCCATGTAGTGCCATGACTCTCATAGAGATGGCAACGGACTTTTACTAAGAAAAAGAGAAGACTCCACTAGTGTGGGACTCATTTGATATGTTTCTGCTAAGTACCTAGAGCAGTACTGAGCACAAAGTAAACACACTGTACCTGAAAGAGTTTTGAAAGCTGGAGATTTGCAGCTAGTGTGTAAGCAAGTGGATAAATATCTTAATACTACCTGTAATCCATGGTTGAACTGTTTTAGCATGATAAGAATTTTGAAGGAAGGGTCTGGAGAGATGGCTCAGGGGTTAAGAGTACTTGTTCTTTCAGAAGAAACAGGTCCAATTCTCAGTACCCACATGGTAGCTCACAGCCATCCCTAGCCCTGATTCCAGGGATCTAATAGTCACACTTACGGTGCACATACTTGCATGTAGACAAAACATTTAATGAAAATGTTTTGTAAATGTAATGTAAATAAATAAATAAATATTTTCCTTTCTTATAAAAAATGTTTAAAAATATTTCAAAGAGCTTAAAATCTGTAAATTGACACAGGTTTAATCTGACTCAGTTTTACCTTTCTGGAGGGAAAAGGATCAAATAGTAGCAAACAAGTCACCAGTGCTTACTAAGCCCAGACACACACAGTACTTCAATGCCCTCCCTGCATAGCTGCTTCTAACCTTCTCATTCAAGCCTGGTACTGGCATTTTTTAAACAAAGTGGCCAATACACTAAACCAGAGGCCCCTGGTTCCTAATGACCCATTTGAAAGTTATATAAAACTATTCAGCAAGACAAGAAATGTAACAGTAGTTGTCACTCATTACAAACTGTCTTAGCAAAGATGCATTTTCCTGTCTTAGGACTAAATTGATAGTGTTTTGTTTTTGCCGGGGCTGGGGATTAAACTTGCACACACTAGACAAGCAAACACTCTACCAATAAGCTGCATCCCCAGACACCGTCTGACAACTTTTGACAGAGTGAAATGAAGTCAGGTTTTACCATTTTACCAACTGTGGTTGGTTTGACATTTTTGACCACAGTGATGTTTCTAAGTCTCCTTCCCGTGACAGCTATTGAAAGTGGCATCACTTAGCTTTCAGTTTTTATTGCCCACATTTGAAATGCCAAGAGGTGTGATTGATAGGAACTGACCTTGTTGTTTTCAGAGAGGTTTGTGGGTATGACCCTTTTGTTTTTCCTCCTCTTTCCATTTCAGGAGGATGAGGATGTCTCTGAAGAGGTCAAAGAAAAATGGGTAAGTGACAAACTGTGACACAGTCCCTTTAGGGCTTAGCCTTGCTCCTTGGCATATAGTTATTAGATATGAGCAGATCTATGCAAATATGGGTTGAGGGTGAAGATGAGCGGTGCGGCAGGTGCTTGTCGGTTCTACTTTATCCTGTGCTGTAGCTGGTCATGCTCCTGAGCATCTTTCCTGTGTCTGCTGTGCTAGCTGCTAGTCATCAACACCAACTCCATATTTTCTCTCTCTCGAATACTAATGGTTTGGATAAAGTACTTTGAACCCTTTGGAAGAAAAGTTAAAAAAAAAAAAAAGATACCAGCTCCTAATGGTTCTCTTCTAACAGAGAACATAAACATAGAGAACATAAAATTTGAGTCCATTTCAAACTTTTTGGATTTGTCTTTGAAGTGAGGGTAAGTGCCTCACCTCTTTTGTACCTTGCCCCTTTGAAGCTTGGCATCCAATTCCTCTTTGCCCTGAAAGGCCTACACCCAGCAGTCCTCCCTGAGCTACTTTGATACCTCTAAACACTGGGGTGTTATTTGCAAGAAAGAGGGAATTTGGTTTTTAGAAAATTAATACAAATTGGTGTGCTTCACTTTTCAAAGCATGTAAAATGATAGCTGTTTAGTACCATACAGTTTATTATCATGCATTTATCCTCAGAATATATTTAATGATCTCTACAGAAAATCAACAACCAGCTCATTTTTATCAGTAGAGACATAAGTAGTAAATTATCATTGTTCTGTCTCAATAGTTAAGATCCCAACCAGTAACTCTATGGTGATATATGTTTGCAATCCCTTATGAGTCTGAGGCAGGAGGATCACAAGTTTTTTGGTTTTGAAGGTGTGTGTGTGTGTGTGTGTGTGTTCCTGTCTGTGTCTTGAGAGATAGTAGGTGCACTTGCATATGTGTGCACATGTTGTATGGAGATGAGAGGTCAACTTCAGGCGATTTCTTCAACTATTCTTTCCTTAATATTTGAAAAAAGATCTCTCACTGAACCTGGAGCTCATTAATTGAGCTAGACTGGCTGGTTAGCAAATTCTATAGATGCTCCTGTCTTCTGCCTTCCAAGTGTAGAGATTACAAGCATGCAGTACTATGTGGCCCTTTTTTATATAGGTGCTAAGAATCTGAACTCAGGTCCACTTTGGCATCTAAGACATCTCCAGCTCCTGTATGACAAACTTTAGGCCAGACTGGGCTATGTAGTGAGATCTGTTTTAAATGTGAGGTGGCAATTAATGATAATATGGGTAAGAATTGTCTTCCTTGATTGATGTTGAGGCTATGAAACAGATGAATTGTGTTGTTTAGAAATAACATATAAAAATCCCTTGGAGCAGGAGTGTGTGTGTGTGTGTGTGTGTGTGTATGTATGTATGTATGTATGTATGTATGTATGTATGTATGTGATTGTTTATGTATGCCAGCAACTTTCTAGATTCTATAAGGCAGTGGTTCTCAACCTTCCTAATGCTGTGACCCTTTAATACAGTTCCTCATGTTGTGGTAACACCCAACCACAAAATTATTTTTGCTGCTAATGCATAACTATAATTTTGCTACTGTTATGAATCATAAATATCTGTGTTTTTCAGTGGTCTTAGGTGACCCCTGTGAAAGGGTCATTAAACACTCAAAGGGATCAGGAACCACAGGTTTAGAACTGCTGCTTTAAGGGATTTTAAAATGCTTCTGGAGACAGAAAATTTCCTTTGGGGAACTATGCTTAAACAGAGAATCTGAGTAATAGATTACAAAGCACTGGAAAGGACCATAATCCCTATAGGGTTAATACAGGCCATTTAGATCCAAGGAATTACAAGGAAGGTTTTGTTGTCGTAGAATGTCTTGTTAGTAAAAATGTCTCTGTACTGAACTAATGGGCACTGGAAAATCCTAGCCTACAGTACAAAGCATGAAGAATTAAAATGGCCTTGATACAGTGCTTCTTAGGGAATTTAATTTTAAGACTGTTGGATTAAAATCAAGGAACCGATTTTCTGGTTTTGTATAGAAAAGCATGACTGATAAGGTTGGACACAGAGGTCATTTGTCAGACTAAAGAATATTCCATTTATCCAATTATTTGTATCATTTACTGGTGTTTACCATATGTCAGGCAGACTCCATTGTTAATCTAAGCAAACAGTAAGCAGCCTAATACCTCCAGATGGGTAACTTTGCAAGTATGTAGGTAAGCTTAGGGTTGGTTCAAGCACTTGCTAGGAGGTGGCATCCCCCACATTATTCTCAGTTCTGCAAAGGAAAGGCTGTCAATGGGTCAGCCTAGGTAAGGCTGTCTTTTTAAATAGTCTTATGTTTGATTTTTCCTTTACTTGTTTGTTTTCCTCCCTGGTGCACTCTTTGCTAATTATAGTAGGCATTCTCCATATGGGCCCACAGAAAAAAATATCTGGTGATGACCCAGAATAAATTGCTACAATCCTACCTAAAGACAGTTGGTGGTACCTAATGATTCTTAGGACCATTCTCTCTCTTTCCTATACCATACTGTCTATCCATTAAGCAGTAATCTGTAGCAATCAGTGTGCCAGTCAAAAGAGGGACATTCTAGCCAGGAGGTGGTGGTGCACACCTTTAATAATCCCAGCACTTGGGAGGCAGAGGCAGGTGGATCTCTGTGAGTTTGAGACTAGCCTGGTCTACAAGAGCTAGTTCCAGGACAGCCTCCAAAGCCACAGAGAAACCCTGTCTCAAAAAATGAAAAATAATAATAATAAAATAAAATAAAAGAGGGACATTCTGTTGAAGTGTCACTGGAGCTGATCAGTATGGATACTGTGAGAAGCCAGTGCAGTTCTTTCCTCTCTTGTTATTGGTTCATTGAAATTGTATCTGCTATTGAGGTTGTACCACATCCTCTCTCCTGTCTCTTCCTAGAGTGGTGATACCTATTGTTTTTAAAGACTCTGACATCTGTTTTTCAACTGAAATATAATTTATAATCAGTAAAATGCATAAATTTAAAATGCACTCCTGGGGGAATCTTGACAAGTAACTATCACCCAGCAGGTTGTAGAACTTTTCCAATCACCTCATAAAGTTCTCTTTTGTTCCTTTCCAGTCAATTCTTTGACCCAAAAGGGCAATCATTTTTCTGATTTGTCACCATAATTTTGTATGGACTCATCCAGCTATATTTAATTTTAAGAAGCAAACTTCAGTGGTTATTATCTCTACCATATTCCTCCACTTGGGATTAGAGAAAAATTATTCCCAATATGATTCTTTCCTCTGTTTTTAAGTATTTAGAAAGATTCCTCAGTGTCTCGCCACATGCCAGGAACAACTGCATGGCTAAGAAGGCCTTCTGTGTAACCTAAGCTCTGCTTGCATCACTAAAATCCATTTCCTTTTTTAGTTACTTATAAAAATGGATCTAAGATTTATTTACAGATGAGATTCAAAGCCAAGGATAGCACTGATGTTTTCTCATGCACAGAATAGTTGATGAAGAGATGAGTCACACGTTGTTGTTCTTGTGACCCTAGGAAGCACAGGTCTTTAGATATCTTTTGTATTGCTAAGTAAATAAATGAATTTACATGTTAATATAAATATCTTTATATTCAGAAGTGTGCTTAATGTATAGTAGTCCTCCTTTATCCATGGGAAGGATTTTCCAAGGGTGGGGGCTAGATAGGGGCTGCTTAAAATTGCAGAAAGAACTGTATTGTACGTGTACTGTGTTTTCTCGTAAGTACCTATGATGAATTTTAACCTACAAGTCGGTCATAGTAAGCAACAATAAAACTGTATTTGGAATAATATGACCAGCTCACTAATCTTATAGTTTCAGGACATTACTTAGTAAAATAAGGGCGACTTGCACACAAACACTGCAATCTTGATGTCTTTAAGGTTGATCTGATGCCTACGAAGTCTCCTAAATGACTAATGGGAGAATATGGCAGGGTCTGGAAAAAGAGATGATTCATGTTTCAGGCAGGAAAGAGCAGGGTGCCGTGAGATTTTATCACACTACTCAAAACAACACACATATTTTTAAAACATGTTAATTAGCTATTTTGGAATTTCCATTTAATCTTTTCAAGCAGTCCGACTGTGTGTAGCTAAAGCCATGGAAAGCAAAATTGCAGAAAAGGTTTGAGTGGCTGTTGTGGGCATTGACAGTCTAGAATGTCTGTTCTGGACCAAGCAACCATGGGCACACTTGAATCCTTTCCATCTGTCCCTATCTTTGTCTTTGGCCTGTCTTTTGGGTGACATGAAGTTTGCTTGTTTTTTCCCATCTTCTGGGTCAGTCTGTTCCCAGCCCAGTCCTGTTGTATAACTGACTCTATCACTAGAGGGCACAAGTAATCAGCAGAGATGTTGGTGAGCAAGCAGAATGATGCTCTATAAAGAGGAGGAGACACAAACAAGCTGCTTTTGCTTTTAAAGACTTGTTGAAGAAGCCAATTCAATATAGTAAAGACGTTTGCCTTATAACTCTTTGTATCATGAGCTACAAGATAATTTACAGATAACGTGATTCAAGAACTTAAAGGCACCCTAAAGAAAACTAAAAAGCAAATTATTTGGAGACATGAAATCTCAGGGTGATCCTATGGCCTGCATCGAGGAACCTTCCTTATGTGTCAGTAGTGACACAGACCTGAAAATATGGCTTACATCCTTTACCATACCCCATTCATCCATTTGGAATTTTTGCCTAGCAGGTTACATGCTTGAATTGACTTGCTTGTAGCTTCTGACCTCCTTGAGCATAGGAACATCTTACAGCACTTAGAAGCTATGCAGAGTATCATAGCTTACTCAGTGGGTAAGAGCATCGCCATTCTTCTGCTGTCCTTTGCATAGATGGGTAGCTAGTTCTGTCAGGAAGTAGGAATTATTTGGTTAGGAAAGTCCACCCCCACCTGTAATCCCCTGAAGCTTTTTTAAATAGAATCAGAGGATACTCAATCCAAACAAATTCATTGAAACTTACTCTCTAAGTAAGCAATAGA